TACGTTACTTACGTTACGTTACTTACGTTACTTACTTACTTACTTACTTACTTACTTACTTACTTACTTACTTACTTACTTACTCTACTCTCTCTCTCTCTCTCTCTCTCTCTCTCTCTCTCTCTCTCTCTCTCTCTCTCTCTCTCTCTCTCTCTCTCTCTCTCTCTCTCTCTTTCTCTGATTTGAATCAAATATCATCAAATGGCAGCTTTGTTTTTATGTATTAGAAAATTTTAGTACCATTCCAAATCTGTAATTTATTTAGTTTTTTGCTGACACTCATGCGTAAGTAGTAATGGACGGAGATCCTCTCAATGAAGGCATTTGTTGATTAAAGTTTTCTAATTTTTCTCAATCTATCGCCTTCTCACAAAGATTAAATGATGTGGGGGGCACACACTCTTGGGCTTGGACAAGTCTATTGTTTGCTCTTATTGGTAGCATCCAGGATGACCAGTTATATGATTAGTTTCTTTCCTTCCTTTGTTCTTATTTTCTTTTACCCTACCTTTTAAGTCTGAGTTTATGAATATGGTTGTTATGATGAAAAGACCTCCAATGGCGATTGATTGTAATGTACTTTTTGATAGGCTAAGTTAATGTGCAATCTACCTCCTTCCATAATTTCGTGAAGGATATTGGCAGCCTCTCATGCATTTGCCTTTTTGGAATGCATAACTTGACTTCTGGTTCTTGAGTAATGCATGCATTTTTCTTTCTGCTCGCATATGTGTGCTCGAATGCACGTGTATGTCTTTGATTAAGTATTTGTGAGCATTTATTTTACAATTTCGTTATAACAATCATAAGTTACTTTGCTGCATTTTTGAAGGAAGTTGAATTAATTTATGTCGAATGAATGTGTAGAAGACCGGCACTTTTGGAAACTTTTATATGTGTGATATTGGACATGTAAATGTACTAAACAACATATTACTATATTTGTTCGGTTGTTTATGTGTGTGTACATTTACACGTCCAATATCACACATATAAAAGTTTCCAAACGTGCTGGTATTCTACACATTCATTCGATATAAATTAATTCAACTTCCTTCAAAAATGTAGCAAAGTAATTTATGATTGCTATAATGAAATTGTAAAATAAACGCTCACAAATACTCAATTAAAGACATACATGTGCTTTAGAGTACACGTATGCGAGCAAAAAGAAAAATGCATGCATCACTAAAGAACCAGAATATCCAAAAAGGCAAATGCATGAGAGGCGGCCAATATCCTTCACAAAATTATGGCAGGAGACAGATTGCACATTAACTTAGCCTATCAACAAGTACATTACAATCAATCTCCATTTGAGGTCTTTCATAACAACCATATTCATAAACTCAGACTTAAACAGTAGGGTAAAAAAAAATAAGAACAAAGGAATGAAAGAAACTAATCATATAACTGGTCATCCTGGATATATATATATATATATTTCATTTTCTTCATTTGTATGCACCATGTGCTATCCTTTCTGGAGTTGAGATGGCAAGTGGAAAGAACTTGTGATTCATGGTGAAATAAATTAGTTATTTGGAGCCAAATTTGGATGATTTGTTTAATAAAAAACCTACAGCTAATTTTCTAGACTGTTTCGCTCATTTGGCAAATTTCAGGTGCCTGTGAATTTCTTTAATCATGATCGTTTCTGTTTATAGAAGCTAACCAAGAAATAACTTGTTTCATGGATCAGCATGGGGTGGGAGATCAGAGAACAAATGTTTCTTTTGGATCTTTTATCTTCTCTTAAGAAATTGAAGTTTTAGGTTCTCAAACATCAAACAGTGTTTGAAAACTCGGTGACTTGGGCTCGAACTCACCCAAGTTAATTGGGACTCAGCAGGTTGCTAAGTCCAGCTCAAAAACCATAAGAAATGTCAGAGAATCACTGGGTCATGGGCCCTTGTTTGTTATTTTCACAAAGACTTGGTTGAATCAAATTGCTTATTCGAGAAAGGACCCTGGCGAGTCGCTACCCATTTCTGGGTTTTAAATCAATGATATGTAGAGAATGAAGATTAAGATAAGGTAGAATGAAGATTAATATATAGCCTTTAGTTTATTCAAAAAATTAATGTACTTTTTTATTTTTTTGCAGTTAAAAGTAGACTATTCTCTAGGTTTAGGATGATGTCAAACTTAAAAATGACAGTATGTTGGAATAGTGTATTTTTGGAACTAATAACTTTCAATGGGGGATTTTGGGAATCAAATATGGCACACGAACACCCCTCCTAGTCTACTGTTAGTATAATTATATCGAGCTTAAGGAGGTGGAACTTATGCCCAAACACAATGGCTGTGATCCCAACACCCCATTTAGGCTTGAAAGCAAACATGAGCCATCTTTCCACATAACATTACTGCATGTGTTGTATTCCTCCCCTTTCGATTGTTTTGTCTTTGATTTCCTGTAGTCTCGAACTTTGCTTTGGTAATCCTTTACTCTTCTTGTTAGTGAGGCATAAAGTAGAGGTAGATGTTTGGTATTCACTAAGATAGGGTACACTTTTTTTAGTTGCTAAATAAGCATTCCAAACATATCTAGAGTGTAGAAACCAATTCTTACTCGAGGACATTTGTTTTAATTCGACAAGGTTTAGGAACCAATCAACACCACCTTCTCTTGATCTGTCAAGATTAGTAACCCCTTCCCATGGTCAGTCAAGATCAAGGATATTGTCACCACCTACCATATTTCTTGGCTTCTTCTATGAAAAATTTCTATCTCTATCCATGAGCTTGTGACACCCTCTCTGATGATCTCTTCCAATGAGATATCTTGGCCCTTAGCTGCAGTCCATTCCTCCTTTGTCTTAC